AGAAGATGGTGTTAGAGAATGTGGTCTAGATGAGGAGAGAGAAGATGGTGCTAGAGAAGCTGGTCTAGATGAGGAGAGAGAAGATGGTGTTAGAAAAGCTGGTCTAGATCAGGAGAGAGAAGATGGTGCTGGGGAATGTGGTCTAGATCAGGAGAGAGAAGATGGTGCTAGAGTGACGGAATTGGTGTCAGTTTTGAAAGACGGTGCCTGTGAGGCTGGCCCACACACTCTTCTCAAAGGAACCGGGAGGAGGAGTCTCTCTTGCCTCAGCATGAGTGGCCCTGTGTGGTGTTTGCCTTTCCAGATGACGGCAAGTTTTCGGAGGCCATTACCGTGCTGCTTTCCTGGATTGAGCGAGGGGAGGTGAACCGGCGCTCGGCGAACCAGTTCTATTCCATGGTCCAGTCGGCCAACAGCCACGTCCGCAGGCTGATGAATGAAAAAGCCACCCATGAGCAAGAGATGGAGGAAGCCAAGGAGAATTTTAAAAACGCCTTAACCGGGATCCTCACCCAATGTAAGTAAAACTTTGCAGGCTATCTCTTGGGATTTTACCTAGATTTTTTTTTTCCTTTTATTTTTTTTTAAGTTATTCATCTTCTTTTTTCTTTACTTTAAATTTTCATTTGGGGGTAAGTAGTTCCATCATTTCCCCTCTTACTCCATGTGGAATGGCACACCTCATAACCTGTCTCATGTTCGGTGGCAAGTTGAAGGAGCACGGACCCTGTCCTGAGAGCTTTAACTTCCCAAGGTGAGCAACGTTTCTGTAGCTTTTCCTCGGGACACCAGGCCTGGCCACCAGGGCAGGGCGGCCAGATGTGTGTGAGCCTACTGGACCCACCACAGGTGGGGGCACACCTAATGGGGCAGCCTCCCCTATCCCAGCCCCACCCCACGCCCCACAGGCTGTCCACCCAGCCTGTCCTCCTAGGGCTGGCTGTAGGGAGCCAACCTTGAGCGCATGACCCCTGGGCTCTGTGTAGGAAGAAGGGCATCAGAAAAATGCTTCCTCTTCAGGATCCCTAATTTGAGGTGAGCTTTGCTACAAACGCTGCAAACTCAGGGGCAGAGGTTTTCCTTTTGTATTATTTATTTATTTTTGTCCTTCCTCATTTGGAAGGCAAATTGCCTTGACTCCTTAATGCTAGTGATTTTTCATGTCAAGATCCTAAATTGATGAACGGGTATAAATGGGGTTTGCTCTTAGAACAATAGTCAGGGTAATTACCTCAGGACACTCATAAAAAAAGAGGAGGGGGCATATTTTTGGGTGGTGGTGGCGGCGGCAGTGGTGTGAGTGTGTGTGTGTGTGTGTGTGTGTGTGTGAGAGAGAGAGAGAGAGAGAGAGAGAGCCCTGTCTCTGCACTTGTAGTTAATGTCAGGGCATCAGGATGATACAGTGTTTCTCAGCTGCCCAAGTCCTCTTGTTCTGTAAATCACTGAGTGACACAGAGACAGTGCCATGCTCCCTTCCTTGCCCCATGCAGAGCTCCACCTGCATGGTGACCCATGGGGACCACAGAATCTTTCTGAGAATAAGCATTCTTTTTTGCGCTTCAGTAGGCAAAACTATCCATCACTGTCATGAGTCCATGTAAAACGGTAGGAATGGTGCTAACTGCTCAGCTCAGTGGGGTAAGAACCAGGACCTTACCCAGAAGAGGGTTTTATTTAACTTTGTTGCCAAAAGATAATGTTCTGATTTGGCTAGCAACGTTATATAAGTGGCCAAATTTTTTTATCATAAACCAACCTGGGTAACTTGTTTTCATAAAAGAGGACTAAAACCTACAAAAACAAGCCCATCATCACTGAGTTAATTCTGACTCAGAGCAATCCTATCTAGGGTTTCCGAGAAAGAAAAAGCAAAGTAGCACTGGTCTCTCATACAGATCAATAGACGATGCATTAGCCCGGAAGGCAGCAACCCCTAATTGAGCTCTGTGTCTCGTGAGTCTGTTTGGGCTCTTGGCGATGAGTTATCGTCATAACCTGTCCACCAGTGAGTAACTTAAATCCAAACTGTACATTTTTACAAATCAAGCCTAGTTTGTTTATGTATTCCCAAGCCACAGCAAAAGGCAGACAGGAATCCAGGCCAGTGTTTGCAGGATGCCATCAGCTTTGCCTGGATGGGTGTATGAGAGGGCTGCTGCTGCTCCGGCCATCACACCTTGTTTTCCAGACTAGAAGGAGGAGGAGGAGAGGATCCAACTGGAAGAAGGGTTTATACCTTTCTTGCTAGCAAGCAAGCCCAGTATGCCCCAAACTCCAACAGACTTCCATGTGTGCCTCATGGGACAAAATTACTGCCATGGCCATGCCTAGCTACAAGGAAACTAGGGAAGGCATGCTGTTGACCACACCCATGGTGTGCTATAATAAAACCGGAGATTTCAAAATGGTAAGGTGACCAGACGTCCCGCTTTAGGTGGGACAGTCCTGGTTTTTAACAATTTTTCCCACGTTCCGTGGCGTTTTTAAAAAGTCCCGATTTTTGGAAATAATGCATGATCAAGCTAGGGTATACTATACGGTTTTCGGCTGCCATGTGGCTATTTCACCAAGATATGAGTTTTATCAATGGTGTCCTGCTTGTGTCCCGCTTTACCAATGTTAAAATCTGGTCACCTTACACAATGAGGAAGATGGGGAGAGTGGCTACTGGGAGGCACTTTGCAGATTCTGTCACTACTTTTATTCTAGTTCAAGCTATTTTTCATATACTGTGTAGATTAATCTTTAAGCAAGTACAGATCAGATCATGTCATCAAACTCTAATGCAGGTGTCCTCAAACTACAGCCGGCGGCCACATGCAGCCCCCTGAGGATGTTTATCTGGCCTGCCAGGTGTTTTTGCCCCATTTGTTTTTTTCCTTCCAAATAAGATATGTGCAGTGTGCATAGGAATTTGTTCATAGTTTTTTTTTTTTAAACTACAGTCTGGCCTTACAATGGGTCTGAGGGACAGTGAACTGGCCCCCTGTTTCAAAAGTTTGAGGACCCCTGCTCTTAATCCCTTGAGTACCTTCTCATAGCGTGCAAATTAATGCTCACCTCTCCACGTCCCAGTGGGAGTCCCTGGGGGTGCAAACCCTAATGTACTTGGCCATTAACCAAAACGTTGGAGGTTTGAGTCTATCCAAAGGCACCTTGGGAGAAGGCCTCGCCATCTACTTCCTAAAAACCCCATGAGCAAAATTCTCCCCTGACATGCATGAAGTCTCCTGGAGGTCACAGCAATTGGCTTGCCAGGCCTGCCTCTCTAACTTTATCTCTTCCTTCGCTAGCCACCTGTCACCGCCATCGCTTCCTCCCACCGCAGTCTTGACACTCCGTTCCCTCTGTCTGGAATTCTCGTCTTCCCACTCTTTGCCTGCCTGTATCCTTCTCATCCTTTGGGAGATTCACTAGCTCCTAGCGGCCTTTCTGATCCACTCTCTCTGCATGCGTTTGCTGCTGGCACTGAACCTTATTAGAATGGTGTACATCGCTCATCCCAATATGTAATTATTTGTCTTTTTATTATTATCATTCATTGCATTGCTAAGAAAAGGGGTATGTCTCTTTCAGTCCAGTACCTCAAAAAGGGAAAACGAAAAGTCCCTGGTTCCCTGCCATCAAGTTGATTCCATTTCATAGCAATCCTATAGGATAGGGTAGAACTGTCCCTGTGGATTTCTGACACTTTAATTCTTTTACGAGAACAAAGATCCTCATCTTTCTCTTGCAGAGTGGCTGGTGGTTTTGTATTCCTAACCTTGTGATGAGCAGCCCAACACATAACACGACTCCACCAGGGGTCCTTACTCAGCACCCGGACTATAGATATGTGTAAACTTTGGGATGAGTGAATGAATGAGATTCAATAGGACGGTAGGGAGAGAGCCTGAAATAGTGAGCTCAGGGCATCCCAGGGACCTGATACATATACTAGTCTTAGCATTTGCACTGTCTTTGGTGGGCAGTGGGGTTTCAACTTGCCTGTATAATCAAGCAGCATGCTTTACCAGGCTAGGGGATATTGGGAGAGTTGGCATGAAAGAGTCAACAGAGGGTTCGTGTTGACTTACCCCAATGGCCACAGTCAAAGCAACCTGTATGTTTCCCATTTACCTGTGACTGTCTGGAAGATCTATTTTACTCCTGTAATTTGATTCTTGGGAGTACTTCTGCACCCTGCAAATATCAGCAGACATTGTGGAAAGCCTATCTCATCCTGACAGCCAGGGGGCACACTTGCCAATCCTTGAGGTCTGAAGGGTTCATATACGTGTCCCTCATCACCAAGATCCTTTGTAATGTCCTGCGGGTGGGAGATGCCATCGATGTGAGTTGACGTTAAGCCTTGAAGATAGAATTGGAAGATTGCATATCTCACTGATCAAAATGTTTCATTCTCTCCTATGTGCTTTTTACAAAGCTGATGGCACGTCCATCCTGGATATCATAGCACTAGCCTGGCCGTTCATAGGTATGTGCGTCGTTCACCATCTTTTGACTGGGAAATGCATCTCATTTCCTGCCAGAAGTCTGCCCGTACCCTATTGGAAATAGGTTTGCTTGCCTCAAACACATTTTCGGTGTGATTTGGGGGATGGATCCTGCCAAGCTGCTTCTGCAACAGTAGCAGCTGAGGTCCATCATAGTTGCATTCCCCAAAGCTGAGCCAGTCGCACTTCCAGTCATCTGCGCTGGTATTTCTAGCAACCTGCACCTCAGGGATCACAGTGTTGCTTTCTCACAAAGGATGAAACTCAGAGTGTTCAGCAGTAAAGCACAAGAGTGGCATCTCAGCTTGCTTTCTCCTGGATGGCCAGGCATTTTCTGGTTATTTGACAATGGCCCAGAATGCTTCCCTCCACATAAAGGACCCTCACCATGTGAGTGCAGATCCCCATAGCTTTGCACAGCGGCCCAGTCATCGGGAAGCCAACAGACCCAGAGAGTCATCCTAAGATGGTTTGGAAGTAGAGCCACTGACCCTCTCTGGAGTAGAAAGTGCAGCTGCCTGGTGTCCTACAGGGAGTCCTCTTCACTTCAAGGTGTAATTTGCATACCGTTGCTGGAAACAGCCTGTTGTCTGGAGAGGGCAGAAGGAACTTGAGAGGTGAGTCCAGTACGCTGGATCAGACGCAACCATCTTCCTTTCATGCTTGTCTTGATTGCCCTTGCTTTCCTATTGGCTCAAAAGGGAGGGGACGGGAGGGGGGGGACCAAGATTAGTAATGACATGAAGGAGAACTTGTGGTTTATTGCAAAGTCTACATCAAAACCCAGCGTTTACCTTCTAGCTTTGTTGATGTTTTTTTCTGCCAACATTTATTGAAACACCGATTTCTTTCATTACCAAGGCTCAGGTAATGAATGTCATCCAATAGTCATTGTTTCCCTCTGAGTTTCAGCCTACATTGTCAAATGGCCATAATTAAAGCCAGCCAAGGGTTTGGGGAGTCCAGCATCCATTCACTCTATCTGAGTGGGTTTTTATTTCTGATGGTGGATGGGATATCT